GTGAACCCACTAATTCTGGCTCTACACCTACTGGAAGGGCCAGTCTTTGGCAAGTCAATGTAAAATGGGGATAATACTCATAGCAACACCTACACTTGGTAGAATTTTTTGAGAGTGAAATGTGATAATGCAAATTAAAGACTTAGCAGAGTAAGTGGCACCTAGAGGATGCTCAATTAATCTTGCTGATGATGATGATGATGATGGTAAAGAGAGCAGCTAAGTCTAGAATGCTCTTGTCATGGCCTCACTCCCAAGCCCAAAGTCCCCATTTGCAAGGAAGGCTTCTTATGTCTCAACCCAGAGTTCCTTCTATTATTCCAGAGAGAGGAGAAGGTGATTCACACCCTGGCAATGGTGGAACTTCTGGATGCCTGGAAAGAAGAGGATCTGAGATGAGGGGGAAATATGAGACCTTTCGACCTGCTCGCTGGACCACTGCCTTTCCTGGGTTTCACAGGCATCCAGCTAGTTTGTTCATCAGCACAGTCGGGGGAACCCCAGAAAAAGTAGAGCCTGAACTTCTAGTGAACAAAGCCAGTAAGCATGCCCCTTCTGGCCACAAGTAAAGAAGTTACTTCCTCTGATCTCAACACAGTTAAAGGGTGGCCAAATGTACCCAATAAAAATTACCCTTTAACTTGTTTCTATAGATTAGCTGGAACTTTGATTTGGAAAAGAAGTTGGCCCTGGCCTCCAGGACTATGGTGGCAGCAATGTCCCCAATTTAGCAATTGAACATTGGGACGTCATCATTTTTCTAGTTCTCCATATAGCCAGGACCAGGTGCTTAAATACAGCTGTAGAAAAACGAGGGGGCTGGACACTAGTTGCAAAATGGGCCAAGTTCACAAAGGTGACATTTCACTGAACAGAACCACAAATGTCCCATTTTCATATGTTGAAAAGGTTCAGCACCACCAATAATCAAAGAAATGCACATAAAAACAAGGGCGACATCATTTATTGATGAACAGAGTAGTAGAAATTGAAAACAATGAAAAAATCATGAGATAGCTGGGTATGGGCAACCAGAGATTCCCACACAATGCTGGTGACTGTGTACGTTAGCATAATATCTAGAAGGCAATCCAGAAATTTGTTTTTATCAAATGCCTGTACAGTTCTTTTGACAGCAATTTCATTTCTAAGAATTTCAATGAAGGAAATAAGACATGTGCACAAAGATATTCATTTCAGCATTGCTTACAATAGCAAAAGAGAAAAACTGGAAACAACTTTAATGACTAACAATAAAGAATTGATTAAATACATTTTGGTCCAATCCTCAAAAATGCAACCATTAAAATAATAAAGTAGAGTGGAAAGATGTTCACATCATATTGCTCGGAGGAGAAGAAAGCAAGTTACAAAATAGTGTGAGTCCAAGTTACAAATAAGTATGTACAAAATAATTCTGTTTGCAATCTACATGAATCAACAGAAAAGAAAAAAAAGCCTAGAAGTAGACAGCAAATTAACAGTGATTATTACCTGTTTTTAATTTTCTTTACACTTGCCAGTATTTTCTAATACCTTTATGACTAATTTCTTTTTAAATAATTAAGGGTTGAACCAGATGATTTATAAAGTTCCTGCCAGCTCTGACATTTTGGGCATCTATGATTGATGTCCCAAGTAACTTCAAACAACCCATATTTAGTGTGGGCTTACTGCATGCCCTTTGGAGCCTAAGTCTTTGCCCGCAGCTGCAGCCCTCTGCATTCCTCTCTCCCCACACTTGTGGCCCAGCTGTCTCTCCTGCCAGCCTGGGAGCTTGTACAGGGCAGGGCCCAGCTGTACTGCTCTAATCCATGTCCCTAGCCAAGAGCTGAGCAAAAGAACGAGGCTCAGTACGGTGACAGGTGCCATGAGGGCACAAAGGAATAAAAGGCCCAACTTCAGCTCTAGATTCTTACTATGACACTGAACTTCTAAACACAGTGCTTGGCTGTGTAACACCAGAGGAGGAAGAAAATCAGAGGAAGAACACGCAGGGTAGGCTGTGCTGGGAAGGTCCACTGGACAAGGCGGCCATGCACCGCAGGGTAGGTGAGGGTACTCCAGGCAAGGAACACAGCCAGAGCAAAGGTGAAGCAAGCCCAAAGTTCTCTGGGATACATGCCCCAAACCTTTCCAAGAAGCTTTCACAATCTTTGTTCTAGGGAATTTCTGTACTTTGGCCTGAATGGGTAAAAGTTAAATCTCCTAAATAGAATTCCTCCCACAGGTCCAACCCCAAAGACAACAAAGTCTTTAGGACAAAGGCACTAAAATATCAATTCAACCACCTTCCCCCCTCACCCCCCCCCAAAGGGGCTAAGCAGACAGACAGGAGATGGAGGAGGGGAGGGCGGGAAGAAACTACAAGGGGGTCAGGGCTGCAGGAACAAGCAGACATCTCACATGCAAACAGTGCTCACCCCGCCATCATGCCACTGGATTCTCATGGGGCAGCCACCACCAGCCCCATTTGACAGATGAAGAAATGAGACTCAGAGAGTTCAAATGGCTTGCCCCGGGTCACCCAGCCAGAGAGTGGGGAAGGCGACTCCACTCAGGCCTTCTGACTCCAAGTCCAGTGCTATTTTGAGGTAACACACAGGACCTGGAGTCAGGAGCCCTGGGTGGCTCTGTCACCCGCTGGCTGCGTGGTCCTGTACAAGTCGATCACCCCTCACAGCCTCTTTCCCCAACTGTAAAATGAGGAGGCGGGCTATGACCCGCCCAGATCCTTTTCTGGCTCAACAAGAAGAACCTTCTAGGGGCGCTGCTAAGCTCGTCCTATCAATTACATTTCCCAAGTTGGGCCGGCAAAGACCATCAGGCAAGTCTCCGCCTGTCACGTGGTTAAATTAAAAAAAAAAAAAAAAGCAAACGTCCCAGATTAACTTTCACTGCATTGCTTCTGCTGACACCTGATTAGCCAAATTTCTAGTCGCCTTGGGGTGAAATAAATGTCCCTGGCAAGGTAGGCCCGATGAGCGACTTAAAAGACAAATGATTCCTTATTGGTGAGCCACAGTACACTGAAGATGGAGTTCAAACCCAGGGTCAGATCCAGCGCGGATAATTCTTGCTACGGGTCTCTAAACTAGGTTCCGGGCTATTTCAGGCCTCTCCTCATTCGCCTTTTAACGGAGGCTTGGTGACGCTCCTAGTAAGAACACTGGGAGCTCTATCCGGCCCGAACCAAGTGTCCCTAGCCCCAGGCTGTGGGTTCTGGAGGCTCTGGAGCTAAGAACGGCATTAGGCGCAGACACCAGCGCCGGGCCGTGTGACGGCACCCGGTGACCGCGGCGGGAGCTCCACCGCAGTTTCGTCAGAGGTAAAGGTACGCGCTCGACGCGCGCGGCGTGTGCACACACACACACACACACACACACACACACACACTCGCGCGCACAGCCCGTTTTCTGCACTCCCGCAGGCCTCGAAAAGCTCAATCACACTCCACCAACCCCCTAAGACCCCTATCCTGAACCCATCCGAGTGCGTCCGCCACCGACCAAACCGCCCTGCTGCTCCCCGACCCAGCGGCCTCTGCTGCAAATAAGGGCCGGCCTTCCCCAGCTCCTGGCGGGCTTCCTCTCGGCTACACCCCGTCACGCCGCGCCGTCCCAGTCGCCAGCCCGTAGTCGCCACCCGGAGTCCGGCTGAAGCTGAATCGGCTGCTGCGTCCCCTGCAAGTCGTGTTTCACCGCAAGGAGTCAGCTTGCAAGCTTCTCCCCGCCCACCCGGTCTCATGACAGCTGCTGCCGCCCAAAGACAGGCAGATTATAACAAGAAGCAAAGTTTCCCTCTCTTCCCTCCCATCACCCGCCCCCCCTCTCCCCCTCCACCCCGTGTTATGCAAAACGAGCCGGCACCGGCGCCTTCACTCCAGGTACCAAACCAGACTCGGCGAGCCGCGCCCGGTTCCGCTCGGCGGCCCCTTTCCGCGCCCAAGCGGGCGCCCGCATCCGGGGTCTCCTCCCGGGTTCGGCCGCATCCTCAGTCTCCCGGCGATCCGGGCGCCCAGAGAAAAAACCCTAACTCTGGGGCCAAACTTTACGCTTGCAACAGGCATGGGGTAGGGAAATGGGGCAAGGGTGGGAAGCGCGCCCCCTCCCTTGTACAGGCATTTTCCGCGGCTGCTGGCCCCAGTAGTACCTCCTAGTTATTAAGCCACCAGCTTCCCTAGGTCCCCCACACACACCAGTACACCAGAGCACTCTCTCCTGTCACGCGCGTGTCGTCGGTGGGTTTCCCAGGCGCAGCTACAGCCCAGGACGCCGCCTCATCGTCCCTTCCCCCTGCAACACCAAGCGCGCACCAGAGCCGCGCGCCGCAGGGGGATCCAGGCGCCCCCAAACAGTCCTCCTGTCCCCATCCTGCCATGCTTCCCCGCCCCGGGGGCTCCGCTGAGTAGCGAAACCAGGAAGGCGCAATCCCCGCCCGCATGTCCACGTGCCTCACAGACCCCCATGCCTACAGCCGGCAACTGGCAGGAAACTCCACGCTGCGGGCGCCGCTGGGGAACCGCGGGGGGCCAGCAGCACTCGGAGGACCGGAGGCTAGAGGACGAGGGGGCTCCGGAGACTGGGGGAGGCACCCGCGCTGGGGCCACAAGGTCCACGTGAAACTACGGCAGCAAGTGCCGGACGCGGAGGGCGCGCCTCCAGCGCCCAGCACCAGTCCGAGGGTCCCCCACATCTTGGCGCGGTTCCACTCCCCCAAGGAAGCGCGGTACCCCCGGTATGCGCGGGGGGGGGGGCTCCTAGTGGCCAAAGCTAGACCCTCCCTAATGACTATAGCGCCCCCAGTGCTTCGGCGAGTGCAGGGGGACCCCTTGGTTCCTGCCCCCGTAACGGAATGCATCACAGGACTCCAGGAAGGGGGGCTCTGCAGCCTGGAACCCCCGATCCTACAGTGCGCTCACCTCTGCATTCCCGCCTCCGCGGTTACGGCGGCAGCCCCAGCAGCTTAGCACCCCCTAACCGGACCCCGGCTGGCCGTACCTGTGTGTCGGCAAGATAGTTGAGGAAGAAGGAGGAGAGCTCTTCGTCCAGCAGCGCGCCGCAGTCGTTCCCCGCCATCTTCCAGCCGCGGCTGCAGCGTGCGGCGGAGTCAGAGCCGAGCCGGCCCGGGGGGGAGGGAGCGAGCGAGCGAGCAAGAGAGGAGGGAGGAGAGAGGAGGCCGGCAGGAGGCAGAGGGCGGAGCTCCGGCCCGGAGCTGCCGCAGGGCCGCTGGCTGCGGGGGCGGAGCCGCGTGGCGCCTGCCAGAGCAGGGGGTCGCGCCCCTACTCTCCAGAGCAGCTCCGAGCACCGCGATCCGCACCTGCAGCCCCTAGCCCCGGGGAAAGCGCTAGCAGCCGGGTGGTAGTGCCCCAGTCGGCAGCCCGATTCATGCGCAGCAATGCGGGCAGTCCCCCGCTCCTGCCAGAGCGAATCACGTTGCGTTAGCGCGGGGCGGGCCCTGCGAGACAACCTGCTTCTGTACAGCTGGGGAAACTGAGGCCTAGGGAGATGGAGGATTTCATTTGAAGTTCCAGTGAACTTCAATAGCATAAAAAAAAAAAAAAAACCAGGGCTTACTGCCTGGAAAGTTTCAGTTTCTCTACCAGGCTGCAAGGCCAGAGAAAAAGGGTCCAATATCACAGGGAGGTGGGAGAAATCACGGAAAGCTTGGAGGAGGAGGTGTTATTTTTATCTGTGCCTTGAAGGATGCATTTACCCATATTCTATTAAACTTGATTCTCTGTTTCTCTCTTCCCGACTCCCTCTCTGGTTGGCCCTCAGCCTCTCCTCCTGAGGAAAAAAAACACACAAAAATGACTTTTCTGACCCTGGCTCACAATGCCTGGAAATGGCCTAGCCAGACCTTTCCAGGCCCCCTGGTCTTCTCCCAGTTCGCCAGATGAAACCGCTCACAACTAACCTCTGCACATAAGAGTATTCTCCCACAGCCCTCACCCTAGCACTATTCACCTAGTGGTCACATCCTCAAGCAGTCTTCAGGGCTCCCCACTAGACAACAACTTCCCTTTCGCTCTTAGGGCCTATTTGCAATTAAATTTGTGTCCATCGTGTTTCTCTTCCTGCTAGCTACTCTGGTGGTAGTGGTTATGTGCCGTGGAGTCGGAACCAACTCATAGCGACCCTGCACAGGGTGAGACTGTAAATCTTTACGGGAGCAGAAAGTTTCGAACTATGACCTTAGCGTTCGCAGCCCGATTTGTAACCACTACGCTACCAGAGCTCCTTAAAACAGGGCCTGGAGTCTGCTTTTGAACTCTGTAGAAGCGCGCTGGTGGTTAAGCACTTAACTGATACCAGACAAATCATCAATTTGAACCCACCAGTCACTCTGAAAGAAACACAAGGCAGTTTGCTTCTGTGAAAATTACAACTTTGGAAACCCTATGGGACAGCCCTGTTGTTGTTATGCGCCCTCTGGTTCCGACTCATTGAAACCCTACGAGGCTATAAATTTTTGTAGGAGCAGAAAGCCTCATCTTTTTTATGTGGAGTAGCTGTTGGACTTGAATCACCCACTTTGTGGTTCACAGTCCAGTGCTTATCCTGTGTATCCTGCACTGTCCTACAGAATATGATGTGCAGATTGACGCCACAGCAGTGAATTTGAGGTATTTGTTTTGTTTTATATTTCCAGTGCCTGGCGTATTGCTGTTTTTAGTTGACATTTGGAACCCAGTCAGATTCATGGTAACCCCTATGTGCAGACTAGAATTTCTCCATAAGGTTTCAAGGCTGTAACCTTTAGGAAGCAGATAACCGGGGCTGTCTTCCAAGGCACCTTGGATTCAAACCGTCACCCTTTCAAGTAGGAGTAGAGCGCTTAATAAAAAAATAAAAACACAAGATTGGCATAATAATTTTTTTAAAAACCTATTGCCATCAAGTCAGTTCCGAACCTATAGGAATAAGTAAAACTTCCCATAGGCTGTAATCTTTATGGGGAGTCCTGGTGTGGTGCTTCAGGATAACGCACTGGATCACAAAGTCTGTTTGAACTGCAAGGTCAGAGGTTTAAACCTACCAGCTGCTCCTTGAAAACCCTATACAGGATTGCTATGGGTCAGAACCTACTTGACGGAACTTAACAACAGCAGTCTTTATGGGGAGTCCTGATATGGTGCTGTAGGATAAGAACTAGACCACAAGATCGGTTTGAAACAAAAGGTCTGCAGCTCAAATCCACCAGCCCTTCCTAGGAAACCCTACACAGGGTTGCTATGAGTCGAATTCAACTCGATGGCTCTTAGCAACAACAATCTTTGTGGAAGGAGTACCATGACTGTAGGACAGGGCAGTGTTTCATTCTGTTGTGCATAGGGTTGCTGTGAGTCAGAACTGATTCCACGGCCCCTGTCAACAATGTCTCCTTCTCAGACCTAGTGGTACAGTGGTTAAAGCACTCAGCTGCTTAACAAAAATTCAGCAGCATTAAATTTGAGGTTTTTGTTGCTCTAAGAGACAAGGATGTGGCAGTCTCCTACTACTAAGCAATACAGATGCCTAATTAATGATATGTTAACTGAAAACCTGGAGAGTTTCAATCCGGACTCCAACACTACCACATTGTACAGCTAGGGAAACTGCCCAGAGTCAAGGAGGCACATGAAATGAGCGCCTGAGCCAGAACAAGAACACAGGTCTTCTGACTCCAACCTTGACCTCTCATCATCCTGCCTTGCTGTTTGACAGGCAGGAAATGAGGGCACTAGCTGGATAAAGGCAGAAGGCGGGAAAGTTTAGACCTATTTTATTGGGCACGCCTGCCTCCTGCCTTCCTCCCACCCTGCACTCACTGGGTTGCCCAACCCCACACACCCTGCGTGGGTTCCCTCTCACCAGAGGAGGAAAGAGAGGAGAGTCTAGCACACCTGCTCAGACTTGAACACCAAGAGCATGAGCTTCCTCCTCCTCCAGGCTGAGGTTCCCAGAACCGCAGGGTGTGATTTCACTCTTTGGGTCTCAGCCAGCTCACTTTTAAGGAGCAATGCATTCCAGCAGAAAGCCCACATCTAGCCTTGGAGCACTAGTTTAAGAGTCTAACCCCTTTCACAAACTTGTTCTGGGCAACTCAGGAAATTAAGAGCATGGACTCTGGAATCAGACTACCTAATTTTGAATCCCAGCAAGTCATGGTCTCTGAGGCCTTGGTTTCCTCATTCACATAAATGGAGATCATAAAATTACTGACTTCACAGGGATGTTATGATAATTGAGGAGATAATATATGTAAAGTAGTTGGTCCCGTGCCTGACCTCATGGGGAAAATACTAAGCTTCTCTCCTCTCTGGGTTGTTGTTTCTAATATATAAAAATGGGGAGAAATATATATATTTTTATATATATACTTCACAGGCACTGACCAATGATACTTTCATTCTTTCTAGTGCACTGGCTTACATTGAAGTTCAATAAATCTGAATTTGAATCCTGATACTAATTAGTTATGTGCCCTTGGTCATTTATTTAACCTCTCTGATCTCACTTTCCTCATCTGTAAAATGGAGATAACAGGGATCTTGTGAGGATTAAATGAAACGGTGCATGTGAAATAAATCCCTTGACTCTGAACATAGCAGATAGGAAGTTATCAATAAACATTATCTATCATCACTATTAAGGAGCTCTGGTAGTGTAGTGGTTACAAATACGGGCTGTGAAACACAAGGTCAGCAGTTCAAAGCTACCAGCTGTTCCGCAGGAGAAAGATGAGGCTTTCTGTTCCCATAAAGATTTACAGCCTCAGAAACCCTGTACAGGGTTGCTATGAGTCAGAACCGACTCCACAGCACATAACAACAACAACATCATCACTATTACCATCATCACCAAGATCATCACCATTATCATTAAAAATCAGTTATCCTAAAGTTATCCTAAGCTTTTCGGCTGTTGCCCCTGAACACTAGCCTAGGTTCAGTGGGTCCGTTTTCCAAGGTCTTTCCTTTAGCTAGAGGTGTCCCTGTTGGATCCATTCTGGCCTTAACTGACTCTTGTGCCCCTTACAGCCCAAATGCCAGATTTGGAACATCCCCCCCACCCCCCGAGGCCAGACATCTCAACTGTGACCTTGCAGAGCTGCAATACCAGACAAAGTCTCACAAATGAAGGCTCACTAGCTGTTGCTCCAGCTTTCTTCCTCCCTTCTGAATGAGAACCCTGACCTTGGCTCCAAAGTCTTTGTCTCTAAAACCTCAGTGTTGATAGAAAAGCAATACATTGCCCGCTCTCAAGGACTCTTTCTCATCTTGTTGTTATTAAGTTGTTAAGTGCCGTCGAGTCTATTCCAACCCATAGCGACCCTGTATAGGGTTTCCAAGGAGAAGCTGGTGAGCTTGAACCACTGACCTTGCAATTCAAATGGCTTTGCAGTCTGGCACGTTAACCTACAGCGCCACACCAGGACTCCTTTTCTCATCTTAGTGTTCTCAAAATAGGCCTCTAGTTGGCAAGAAATCCTCTAGAAAATACCTCACCTGCGAAACCTAGCTTCCTTTTCAAGTGCATCTTGTCCCCAGACTTCCTTCATGGAGGGTTATCCATAGTCTCAGTTTTATCATTGTAGCTATTCTATGGAGGAATTAGAAGTTCTTCATAGAGATGAAAAGTATTTGATTCCTTCTCAAGAAATCTATGACATTAAATGAGCATATGCAATGTGTTTCCCCACTTTAAGTCTGTCTCCCAGCCTCTAAAATGAGAGTGAGGCTGATGAACTTTACAGATATTCCTCCAGTCCAGATATCATGGCTGTTTGTAAGTATCCACCCAAACTTAGCAGCTTTCATGTATTAAGCATGTGCCAAATACTTGAGCTTCTATCATCTCTAATCCTTTCAATATCCTGAATGTTGTTGTTGTTGTTAAGTACTGTCGAGTCAATCCCGACCCATAGTGACCCCATATAGGGTTTTCAAGGAGCAGCTGGTGAGCTTGAACCGCCGACCTCACAGTTCAAATGGCTTTGCAGTCTGGCGCATTAACCCACAGCGCCACACAAGGACTTCAATACCCTGAATAGTCCACTGTTGTTGCCACCCTACAGGGAGTCCTGGTGTGGA